TTAAATATTATAAATAAATAAATAAAATATAAATATTACCCCGCACAAGCAAATGCATGAGAGAATATCTCAACAGCGAAAAGAAATTAAAATATAGAATACAGGATGTATTGTGCAGCATGCTGGAAAGTTGTTGATATTTGCAAGGAATGCCGATTATCGTAAGAAATGTGGCAAATTCTAACATATCCTTCTTGGGATCCGTGGGCTCATATAAGCAAAGTGACGGCGTTAAAGGCCGGTAGGTGACTTCTGCCTATTTTGTGATAGCATTGTGACGGAACAACTTGGAAAATGCAACAACATAGTATGGCAGGAAGAAGATATATTTAAGTAGAATAATCCTGAATCTAGTATAGCGGTAGCAATAACTGACCCATTCCTTGATAACGCACTGAGCCCTCCGTTCACTGATTTGATACCTAGCCTCTTCGACAATGGTTGGACTCCAGACACCATATTTTTCGTGCGAGAGGGAACATATAGAACGTTATCGATGGTAATAATTTACTGGAGTTCTTGTTCTCCAATTAAATACCCTAAACTGAATCTTTCCAGTGCAAGAGACAGGAACCGGGCTTTCTGGAGCATCAAGAACGGATTTATTGCCCGTGGACAATTAAATGAACGTGAACTTATCGTGAAATCTATTTTAAATTGCACCAGTTTCTAGTACAATATCATTCTTATAAATGCCATTTGGTGACATTAAAGTATACTCCAATACTTTTGGCACCCTCTGTTAGAAATTGTCAAGGATTTCTAGGAGGAAATATCTCGAAGAGCAAGTGTACAATTTCGGACAAGAATTTATTGATAGTTGTATGTGATATCGAACTCTCTTCTCAATATGAATTAAAAATATATAATACTCCGTTAACTTAGTTTTAGCTATATAGATGAGTCTATCCTTAAATACAGATCCCGAGGCTTTAGTGTTCCCGAACTCCTAGTGATCTAGCAACAGCCAGCCACTCATTTATCGCCAGGTAACATTTCCTAGCCACTGCATTCTAGATGCAACTGAATCTTATTTCGTCCAACTGAGCTTAATCATATTCAATCAAATCTACTCAATTGATCTTGATGATCATACCTAGAAATCTAAACCTTCATATATGCTGAGTCTAGATTTCCAACACCCTCGAGTTTGAAAGTGGAGTAAGGGTAGCATCGGGAGTGTTACTGAGTGACTTGGGCAATTTCTGAGGAGGTTAGCAAGAGCCAAAGGTATAAATTTGTAATTGTAACTAGAACTAAGGACGAGGGACGAGGGAATCTTGGATCGGAGACAAAGCCAGTGGAAGATGGAAGACAAGACATGGCCCTTCTACTGCGCCTCTGTCCAATCCATATATACAACATGGCAACCAGAGCAACCTAGATATCATAGAGTCCACATTTATTTTTATTTTTATTTTTTATTTACTTTTGGTCCTAAGCTAACGCTATCTTTTCCACATTGGGTCAAGGACCGGTGGAGCCGGCTTGGATCACTGCGTACAGGCCCAACTCATTCCAACCGCATGAACTTCTTCTGAAATTGTAGAAGTTAACAGCAAAACTAAAATCAAAAACATAAATCAAAAACATAAATCAAATTTGGAAGAAATACTGTTTGGTCCGGATCCCGCGCTTCTCGCCCGTTCCCTTTCCTGCCACATATTCCACGTGACTTTTTCTTATCTCCGCTGAGAGCGAAAGACTAGTTCGCAGATAACCTGAATTCAGCTGGTATCCTGCTATATATTTTGAAGCTTTTTGTAGACTTCACCGAGGGTTGCTGTACCCTCAAACTTCTTCGGATTCCAGGATTCCGAAACCCGATCCCTCGGCCATTGAGACATCCTTCGTTGAGGCCATCGTTGCCTCTTCAGCCCTTTTGGCTGCAGCCTTAAATCGAGCCACTTTCGCGAACTCCCCTTGCTGGATCTGGCGAGAGTCCACCTTATACTAATCGATTACTCAATTGGTAACCCATGGCAACCATTGTATCCCAGTGACCTCTATCCTCAGTTCCTGACATCCACCCTTACATGTTCCATCATCACTAACGTGATTGGATTTGACCTTCACGGGCTTATACCGATTGGCTGCTTGTGCTCGCAACTTTCTAACCTTGGCAGCCTTGTTGAGATTCTTAGCCGCCGATTCGGATCAGTTTAGGGAATCAATCCAGTGAAAGCAGCTTTCGCGCAAGTGGCCCCAACGCTTACAGTATGCATGTCTTTTAAAAATACCAGAATTATCGGAACTCGAAATAAATTTACCGACTAACGCCACAATTATTGTAGACTGAAGGTTGCAATACACTATTTTAGAAGCAAGTATTAATAATATAGTAGACTGCAAAGATATGCTTGGTCCCCGTAGTGAAATCAAAATGGAAATGTAAGATTCTCCGCAGCATTTAATAGAGTGACTTCGTATCCGTATTTTCACGCTTGAATCAGAAGGTGCTGACATGCTGTTGATCAAACTATTTTTTTTTCGGATTTCAGACAAGTTTTGCACGCACTCGTCAACATCAATGTCATCCTCAAACGTTAATACCCAGTATTCGTGTAATAGTTCGTCCACGTCTTCAGATACGTTAGGATAATAGAACTGTTTCAGGTTATTCCAACAAGTTTTCGAAGAGTTAGAAGAATGAGCGAGGTGGAATGTGACGTCGAATAAAAGTTGGGATAAGGCTACTCTTAAGAAAGATACATGGGAAACGGTATTACGTTGTAAATGTTGACTAGAGAGCCCTAGTGCTATGGATGAAATCTATGTAGTGATAGGAAGGTCATGTGGCCTGACTAGCTTAGTTTACATGAGTAGATGAAATACTACGCCTAGACAGCTACTCTTACATTCATATCTTGTCTGGTGATAACTAGGCTAGAATTTGAGCTCTTTGTGTCATGCCTGTCGGGTTAGACTTTTGTCTCCAGGATATAACTGTCGACATCAAATAAAGACAAGATATTAAGAAATAAATGCTCTATCAGTTGTACGTAGATTTTTCTAACGTTAGAGCACCCTTCATCGAGGTTTATATTTTTTAGCAGACATTATGAGCTTCGGAGTATTGAAGAAACGTGTTAATAAATGAGATACTTTTGATATTAGGAGAACTTATCAGTAAGATTAATCAGCTCAGTTGACTAGAGCATTGGTCTCATAATCTGTTAGAAATTGTCATGGATTTTTAGGAGGAGATATCTTGAGGAACAAGTATACCACGATTAACAGAAGTCCTGACCGAAATATACACTTGTTCTTCGGGACATTCCTCCTAGAAATCCATGACGATTTCTAGTAAGTTGAGGCCGGAGAATGATTCGACGAGGTTTGGTCATTGAGATGAGGAGGTACTAGGTCGTACTTGTAGAATTAATGAGGCTTAGGTAGGAATAGATCTCGTTGGGAATGAGGGGTTGGTTTGAAGGAGAGTCTTGTATCGTGGCCTCATGGGTTAACTTCTTCGGTATTGCGCACTTTAGATGAACTTGGCTCTTGGAGAATATTCCACTTCCAGGTTCTCAGAAGACACTACGGACAGATTTCAGCTCTTGTCCTCCAACATTCAAATCTGCGATGCCGCCACGAAGAACAACGAGAGGTATTCCGAAAGTGCCTGGGTCCACCGATCAAAGATGAGGAGGAATCGCTAGGGGCATGTCAGCATTTTCTGCCTGGAGACGTAATGCTAAGATATCACGAAATGCAGGAATTCTAAAATTCCCGTGTCCGGCATGATGATAGAAAATGACCTGTTCATTTCCACAACATGGTCGAGCCTCGAATATGAAAATAGAAAATCTTTGCGTAGTGTCCTCTGTGGATCTGAGGGTGAAACTTTCTCCTCGAGCCGAGTTCAGTGGAATCTCGTAATTCCAGATTCGTTGGTTGGTGAGGTAATGGTTCCAGTATTCTCCCCAGATCAAGTTTTCGCATGCAACCAGACAATTTCGGACTAAAGCCTTATGGAGTTTACAAGTACGATATAGTAAATGCTACTTTCAATCAGCGTACCTCTCTTCGACTCAGTATCTAGCCTCTGAACACAGGCCCACAACTTCTGGATTGATAAAGCTATGCAGCTGAATAAAATGTGATTTAAAAGACGCACGACAACATGAACATCCATGGGAGACAAATCAATAAAAGCAGATCTTTGGGATGAGCCTGAGAAATAAAAGGATATGAAGGTTGGAAGATGCCAATGATGGGTATAATCTCTAAAAGGATAGATGTGGTTTTTGGGAAGGAGGATTTCGTATGGAAGAGCAAAGTACACCTCACAACATGATTTTTCAAGAGAGCAGGCGACACTATTAACACCATATTTATTGGATGTTTCAGTAGTGAATCATCCGATAATGTCTCCCAATTAGATTCATTATAACCTAAACACTTATTCTTCTTAAGACGGGTGATTATTGTCTCGAATAAAGCAAATCTTGGGCGCATCTCTCGCGGTGATTATGTGCACGGTTGAAGAGGAATGATTATATAAGGATAAGATTCAAATTTCCTTTAGTGGGTACCCTGAAATGAGAGACCGTTGGCAAATATAAAAAGTACCTCATAATGGTAGCCTGATATGAATCGGGTGGAAAGAGTCCGTCTTAAGTAAAGCAGGTTATCCGACATATAAGTAAAGCATTGTTCCTTTGCTACAGCAAAATTACTTCATACTCACTAATTGGTATAAAATGTGAGTAAGTCACATTCTGTCGCAAGTTCAAATGCGCAAACTTCTAGCTCGATCCGGTCGGTATGTTACTAATTCCCTTGGTGCATGTCGAAATAGTCAAATTGAAGGCATTCTTATTTGACTTGAGTTCAAGGAAACGTGTTAAACGATTCACATCAACACATACGCTGTAGGTAAATAGAAATTGATATGTGCAGATTAGGTTCTCAAGGCTAGCCTAAGGACTACAACTGAATTTTGTGATTTGTAGAGCGTGTAGGTAGACATCTGCTGGGACAAGACGGAGCACAATTTATTCGCCGTAAAGTGCTTCGAGGTCGGGAAAGTTCACCTTAAACAGCTCCCCTTCAATCTCTTGGCCCGCCGACAGGAAGGCAAAGGCCAGTACACTATTGTCTTCGATGCCAAGGCTGCGAAAGCTGGATTCAGGTGCAGCGGCTAGTTCATCGAAGCCCTGGGCTGGGTCGGAGGGGCTGCGGGGCACGCCGAAGACAATGTCGTGGCCCGATGCGGGCAGGGGGATCCTCGGAGCGTTCGGAAGCGGATCTTTGGGGTCAACTGGTAGGCCGTCGGGATAGCGTTCAGAGAGGATGGCGAGGAGGCTATTTTTGATGCGTCTACATGACATGCTGGCGTCGACGAAGAGAAAGAAAGTGTAAAAAGTGTGTTTGAAACGGAGCGTTAGATCCGTTGCCTCGACTACCTCGGCTTGACTATTTGCAAATTAGCAGAAGTAATAGCAGCATCATGTTCATAGCTCTAGACCACCTACCTAGCCATCTAGTGTCGTTGCAGCTCGCGCGAAGACCTGTTGTAAACGGACTCGTCTCGACGACCAGCACAGGCTCGCGAGCCGCGATATTTAAGCGCCTTTGTGTCACTCAGGATCCATGAGGACCAGGTCGCTTAATAGCCGGGAAAGAGTGTTTCCTAGTCTAATTCGTGCGAAATTAAAATATGGGCACACAGAAGAGGAAAGTAATATTCATTGAAATAGGTACCGTATAGGTGAAGATATGGGCCATGTCGATTACAAATTTCAGCGAGAGACTGCTTTGTCAGACCGTCAGATTCGTTAGGTATGATATAATGACCAAACAGGCTAGAACCTAAACATCAGTAATAGGCAGATCAATCTACACCTTTCAACACCTCGCTAAAATCACGTCATCAACACTGTTGCCGTGTGCCCACAAACTGGATAGGCTATTTGATTTTTCTCGCTACTAACTTTACACTAAGCGTAACTCCTATCTCCCCCAAACCACAGCGACGTATGATTTTGGTAGTGTCTAAATTCCCTTGCCTCATTTAACGGTCTCCCTCCGAAGTCACTGCCACTCAGATCTCCTTAACTGCCAACACACGTAGGGGATGGGTTTCTGGCCTCATTATCTTCTCTAACTGCAAGTCACGTAATGAAGGTTACCTGCAAATGTATGGTTGCCGGAGGTTCGAATTAACTACTGGATACAGGCACCCCCAATATTCCAGTCATCAGGCTCGGCATGTAAACTCGCAACGTGTTATCTATTGGGATTAAAGGGAGTCTGGTACCCTTATTTAGAAGAGTAGTCAAATTGACATCCTTTTATTCTTCATGATTGCATAAGCTTCCCTCTACCAACAAGTCCACGAAGTAACTAGTGTATTCTACTTGAATACAAGCGACTTTATGTTCGCATCGCTAGCGACCATCTGTGGCAGAAAATAGGAATATTTTGCGCATGGAACGAAGTCGAGGAAGCAATGCATAGCATTGTTGATGGAGTTAGCTCATTCCACTAAGTTAGAACCAACTTTGCCATCATTGCAAAGAACAAAACAACAAGGCACAGGCTCCCAGATGCCTCTTCGAATTGGCGAGTGTCAACACTAAACTCGTGGTTTCTTCAGAACTTGTCACGCAACGGATCGCAAATGTATCCGTAAAATAAATTACAATTTAGGGATGGATAACCCTTAATGCTTACTGGGTCTCTGATAAGATCACTTATATCATCAAGCTGAGGTCCATCTGGACGTGGCCCCATGGGACGTGCTGTCCCGAGGCGCCGTGCCGCAACTGGCATACCCCTTTCCACTGGGATTCTGACCCCCGTGCTGGTTATCGCCTCTTCGAACAGTCTAGCTTGGCTACATACTTTAAACCTTTTCGTCAAATCAAGCAGTATCGGCACTGCCTTGGCTACCACGCCTCTCGTGGTTACTCTCGCGCTCTAGCCTGCCAGAACTGCGAATCCAACATACACTCTGAATCAGAGTGCATCGCCCTTACCAGATGTCGAAACTGCAGGGAACCTCATCGCTCGGATTCTCGGGACCGCCAAGCTAGACCGGGAAAGTTCGGAACGGCGAACAAAGAGCAGCTCGCAGTGATTCGAGAACTCGAGCAAGGGAGGTTCGCAATGGTATCACATGCCAGGGCTGCAGACAAAAGGGCCGAAGAGGCAATTATCGCCTCAAAAATAGACGTTTCTATGGCCAAGGGATCGGACTTCGGAGTTCTGGCGTCTGAAGAAGAAGCTAGAGGGTACAGCAGCCTCGACAATGCCTTTTTAGGCCTTATTAACCCAGATTAGGAATCCTGCTGGATCAAGGGTACCTACTAACCCAACTCTAGCTCTCAGTGAAGATTGAGAAAACTTGTCATTTAGGGTATTTGACGGGCGAGGGAATTTGCAGGAAGCACACTGCTTGGGTCCAATATGGAGGAATCTTCCATCTTTCGGAGTTGTTTTGTTTTGGCTTTCTGTTTAGTCTACTGCAGTTTTAGTAGCGACATACGCGGTTGGAATGAGTTGGGATGTGAAAAAGAAAAGAGGGATCCCTACCGACTCCACCTGTCCCATACCCATAGTAGTTCCTAGAACATTAACTTAAACTCAGATCTCTAACAAAACAAAAATACCCTCCGAGAACTACTCGACGCTCTGGTGCGCCCTTCAATACCAGAAACAACAGAGATCATTCCACTGTCCACCATTTTGATGACCAACTTACATGTGGCAAAATTACATTCAGCTGGAATTTTGCTTTTATTTTACCAGTAGTTTGAAGTTACTTTCGTAGACTGCAAAATGTTTAAGAGGACAAACAATTGGGATTAGCTTGGCATCTTGGACTGTGGGGTGAAATAGGAGGTGAAGGAAATTGGCTGAATCCACAAAAATGAGGAAAAATAGAACGCTTGGCACTCATCTCTTGTCGCTCTCGAACGGCTCTCCCGAATGAGCAAGACCAGGTGATATCAGAGACGAATGATTGTTGTTAATCCGAAATTTCGAAACTGGAGAACCCAGATTTCGCCCATAATCCTGCCAAAGTTCCCTCCTACAACTCACGTCCTTACAATACGGGAGCTCGTCAAGTCAATTGGTTTGAATCAAGCCCAGGACATGCGCATTACCTAAGGGAATTGGTTCAGCCAACAAACTTTGAACGTACTAGATTGCTATCATTCATTTGAATATTCCTTCAGTAACCATGGCTTTTAGCATTTTAGGTTCATTCAATTAACGCACACCAAATATAGACTTTTGATTTTTATCAAATTAGTAATCAGGAAACTACAAGTATTTGAGGGACTGATGCCTCTATTCACTTCATCCACTCACACTTCGAACCTATGAGAAAGAAAGCATCCAATATTCAACCCTGCTCAAACTTGGATCACATTTAATTCCAGCTCTTGACGTCTCTAGAACCTCAACCGCAAAAACCCACCCGGCACTTACACCTTGAAAAGCATAAATTCCCCAAGTCAGCGTTAACATGAAGTTCATAAGTTCCGTGATATCTGCTTCTATGCTCGGTCTATTTGCGACAGTCTTTGCTGGAAAGGTTTATAAATGCCCGGGTGGTCATGAAATTACTGAAAAATAGTGAAAGGCTTCGTCTCATGGCAACTAGCTATCATAGTTGACAACAAAAGTCCAACAAAGATTTTTGATAAGCCCATCCCAGTTAGAATTGATACTTACTTTGTCGATGATGGTTTGTCAAACCTGTCCCTATAGTAATATACAGCTACTAAAACTTAGTGTCAAGTTCGCTATGAAATCTCTGTTTTGGTCAATCCACAAGATGAGACATTTCGGGTAGTTGAGCAGAAAGGTTCATCTGAATCTTCAGAAAATTGCAAGCTGGGGGAAGAATCTGATAAGGAGTAATATTCATGTGATCTTCCATAGCTTCTTGATTTTCAGAATTTATATATCAGAGGTAGACGTGTATCATTAAATTGGGAGTTGAAATATTCACATAAAGATAAACAGGGTGGGTGTGAGCAGCTGAATTTGTGCATAACTCAGAGCTAGGTCGAGTGAGAATACGTGACAGCTCATAGCTCATGAGTCAAGCCTTTGAGAATTCTTCAGCCGAACGCAAAATCACGAGGACGAAGATTCGACATCAATCAGTGATGACTTTTACTAATCTCCAGCTCTTACTACAAAGTATACAGAGCCGAGGTTGAGAGATATTGTGACGAGAAACCCAAGTTGGTGATGATTAAGTCGATTTAATAAACGGTATAAAGAAAGTGAAGTCTAACTACAAATCACGGGTATTTGTAACATCCAGTCCCTCTGTGATTGTCTTGACTGATTTCTTCGCCCTAGCCCGAATACTTGCCACCTAGCCACACATCATCCAGAATCATTACGCCGTGACACTGATCTAGCCGCTTGGCTAGCAGTGCCGTATCTTCCAGTTTTTCATATCATTTCCATGGAGTCTTACAACACGAATCAACAACAACACTAAGATATCCACCTAAGCTCATTCAACGGTCAAACCGTGACAGATATCTTCAACCTCATCTTCATGGAGACTTTATGGGGCTTTTTGACAAGCTGATTATAATGAGCCTTTTTTAGCCGAGCGAAGAGTGAAAAACTGTCGGAGGTGTCCTCTATTGATTTTGAGGTTCGATGGATAAAATTCGTTGCAGGATGGTCCGTGTAAAGATAGACGTGGAATGAATATTATGGTGGATGAGCAGATGTATTTCGACTCTCTGAGGGTTGATGGATATCAAAAGATGGAGGCATGATCTGTAAGGGTAGAAAGTGCTCCTGATTAAGTAAATGCCCAATTTGCCTTACAGCCATGCGCATTGGGGGTCACATGTACTCACGTATTGCGCACCGACGATATTTGATCCTTAAGCTCCTACTAATTAGCACGACTCACATTCGAGTCATGCGTTGTTATGAGCTAGCGTAAGTATTGCCATTCAATTTCATTGCTGTCTCTTTTCTGTGACGAACTTACTTCCTTGCGCAGACTAGGACCCAAACACCTCTGCGGCCATGAATGAATATTTATTCGTGACGGGCACAAGCGCTGCACTCAATAAGCTTGACACGGACAAGACTAGCATACCCGATGACTTTATACGACGATAACTCAGTCTGAGATTTGGACTACTCATGTTGTGAGTGCATTCGCTGAGCCCACTCGAGACCTTAGTGTTAGGGATTATCGCCCTTCCCTCAACCGTTAATGTCCACCAAAGCGAAAATAGGAAAAGTCTTTGGTTACCATAAGATGCCTTTGTCATCTTGTATATAGCCGCCGCGCGAGATATAGCCTCACACTCCTCCATTTCTCGAGCGAGGTAGGTTACCAGGCTACTCAGACTTTAATTTGTGGATGATGATGTGATATTTTTATTGTACTACTTGAGTCTATGACAATCTAGCACAATGAGCTCCTCTTTGGCCCAGGCCACACCTTGTACAGTGCTCCTTGCCTCTTTTGTTGTAAGATCATTGATATTTTGCCCTTGATGAATAGCCATTCAGCTCAGTATTTACCCCTGGAATTCAGCCACCTTATCCACGAATCCTTCTACCCAATATAAATAAAAGTGCTAATGTAAACTTAGAGAGGTCTTCGTGTGAATGTCACGTGGATCGTCAAAAGGTAAAAGCGAATACAAGAATGAATTGATTAATGTTCTCCATGCTACGAGTCCACCGTAGCACTATAATATTTAGTTCTACCCTATTAACGCCCCTGATCATCATTACTGGTCTGACATGCCTACACGCAGATCGTGCTTTCGCTTTCGGACTGGTTACAGACTTATGCTTGCATAAGTCCGCTTACAGCTAAGAATCAAAACTGTGTGCGCAGGAAAAAGTCTCAAACATCCTGAAGCCCTAGCTAGGCGAAGCCTAGACACCGGGACCACATTTTTTAAATCATTTAAGTGTATTCAGCTGTAGAGCCATGACACATGACCGGTGCTATGTATACATATTGGATGACTCTTTTGACGTTAGAGACACTCATACTTTGGATTTCATTCGCAAGTACCACTATGAGGTATGTTCGCTTACACAAACAGTAAACCCTCTTCCGTAAGTACCCACCAAAGGGACGTTTCAAAACCTTTGGTTATCCAAGTATGCCTTCGTCATCCATGCCTACCAGCGCCGCGAGAAATGTGGTTGTGTTTTGCCGGATTCGAACCAGCGATCTATTGTCTCAAGTGAAATAAGTGTCCAAGCTATCCAGACTCTACTTGGTAAACCGGCCAAGACGATGTACCACCGCACCATCTAACCATGGCGATGTTTATAGTCTCGCCTGCACTCTCGCAACCTAAGACTTAGCACGCACAAAGCTTAATTTATAAGATCTCCTTGCCAAAATTGAAAATTTCACGCCCATCGAAATTGTATCCATACTCTGCATCATCTTATCAACTTGTCCTGATTCCTCTCACGACCATCCCAAAGAACTGCCTTCCAGATTTGTGCGCCACACTTTGCTTCCTCCGTTGGGTGTAAATATCGGCGTGGGCGTGTATCTGGCGACCAGCTGAGGCCAGAGAAAGTCGACAAGAGGTGTGATTATTGGAATGGTGATGTACTAGGTCGTACTTGTAGACTTGTTGGGTATTAGGTAGGATTCGATCTGGAGTGGAAATTTGACGTGGTGGAGTAATTTGACTCATTGCCTCGTGGACCAACTTCCTCGATATTGCGAAATTTGACTGTATTTGACTCTATGAGAAAATTTCAGACCCAGGTTCGTAGAGGACACCACGTACAGGTGTTCAGTCTTGCCCTCCACCTGGTGCACATGTGGGGCGCATATTCACCATATCTCTTTTCTTTGAAACAGTCAAGGCCGACTTGCTCCAAACCACCATGGTTAGATCGGGTGCTGGGTACGCTCCGGAAACTCGTCGGATCGCTTTTCCGCCATAACCAAGGGTTGGTAATGAGTAGGACTCCAACCCTACCATTTGATCTGATTGTAGTTAGCTTCATGACAATGGTGATAGGGGATATGTTGATAGATAAATACGATAAAGACGGCAAAAGCGATTGGAGATTCTCATTGAAGTGATGACTTTATTACTCCATCTCGGATCTCAGACTGTACAGTGAGAGCTGGAGGTTCGTAGTGGACACCACTGTCAGGTCTTGAGAATATCCCTCCCCCTGATTTGCGGTGCTATGTGCAATAAGACTTTAAATAATAAGTTCTTGAGCACATCGAGAATGCCGGGCCACCATGGGCGTCGGCACGTACATTAGCTTTTATATTGACAAAGCTAGCCGGCAAGTCACAAAACATTTGAAAAATTGATTCCCAGTTTCCGCCTTTTTGGCGCCAAAACGGAACCAATATGATACGTGAAAAACTGAATCTTACAATCCTAGACTTATTGAATAAATTAGATACGAGTCTCGGCTTTTCCATGTACATCGCGAGACACAGTTGATGTTGAAGGAAAAAAGTAGATTTTGTAAATTTGAGATTCTCTCGTACTTATTCCACAATACCATGCCTATCAGGCATTTCGTTTTGTCTTCCCAAAAAGATGTGACTCCAATACCACTACGAATTACGTGAACTGTCTCCAATCATGCAAGAGCCCAAGATATGCTGTGAATAATATTCTGTGTCGCATGAATCCGAGACAGCTGCTAATCGAAGTGGCAAATCATTTCAAGATTAAGAGATATCTCTTTCCCACGTGAGAAAGTTAGGGCGGCATTTTCGTGCTTGAAGTGCCGGTAATATTCTACAATTTCGTCATGCTCAGACATTGTAGCTAGTAGGTATCCTAAAGGCCACTGTCCCAGATAGGCGAGCTCAATAGTTATGTTAGTACTCGGGCCAATGCCTAGTTCTTTATTCCTTAATGCTAAGTTTTCAGCCAGTTGTTGTATTTGGGAAGCGTCGCATTGAGCTTAGATTTCCATCCTTGCCAACGTAATGAAGAGTTCTAAGAGAATGATTAGAGCCGCAATACTGAATCACAACTGATTTTACCCGCACGTCCCAGATACCAATGATTGCCGACCTTCTAGGCGTCATCTTATTGCAATTTGAACTTCATTTCAGCCTACCATGAGCCTGCAGAAGAACTTCATTTCTGCCGAGTAAGATGCTGCTAGTATGTATAGAAGTAGACGTATGGAAACCTCCTGATTATCATGACAAATTGTGAGATTCGAGTAATAAAAATCTAGTCGTTACGGAGTGGGTGGCAAATAACTTAAAAAAAAGAATGAGCGGATGATAAAAGTGAGGTTCCTAGTGAATTATAACAGGTGGAACGTGAGATATGTTTAGCTCTACGATTGTGTTGGTGTTGGTTACGGGTGTCTCGTGGCTCCAAAATACTAGCATGTACAGTAGAGCTTAAGACTAAATGTAACTTGATTTCCTAGCAATTTCGGATATAATAAAACGATCTTGAAGGGGAGAGGACGGATTCCACACTGGCTGAACAGTGTACATTGCACTTCCTGAAGGTAAACTAAATAAATTGATAGGAATATAAACAGACAGGATCAGGGGGTTTTCACCAATTGGTTTCCTCCTTTGAAAATAATGAAGGTAGTCACCAGCAT